TTCCTCCTTATCCGGCGTTCCAGATTCGTGTCTCCGCTTCCTTTGCTTAGTCATGCAGAGGCGGATCCAGAGTTTTTTTTTTTGGGGGGGGGGGGCAAACCATATAAATTTATCGATTCTTTCCATGCATCGTCCATAGGCGTAATGTTAAAATCATGCCGTTTGGGGGGGGCAAATGCCCATTTTGCCCCCCCCTGGATCCGCCACTGTAGTCATGATACAGGAAGATTGCTTTTCACTTTTCACTGTATGGGCAGTGGGCACGATAGGGTTGGCACTCACACACCGGCTTCAAATTCTCGCACACTGACCGGTAACGCCACGCGCGCGCACGCGGGCGGAGCGAGCGTCCGTACGTCCGCTCTGGTCGGCTGACCAAACGCAACCGGAATCCAGGAAAGACTAGAACATTTCAGACCATAAGATCCACCATGAGATCCCAACTGATTGTCATACTAGCAGCGACTGCAGTCAGAGGCGACCGAACGCTGACATACGTTCTGGATTTTTTTCCCCCACAAATCACCTTAAATTCAATGTCTATAGTGCGCGCAGCCCCTACTTGTGGACATGGGTGACTGCATGAGTGCCAGATGGATGAGGTGTGAGACTGTCCCATATTATAGTGGCACTAAGGTATAAGGATGTCCTCGGCCGACGTAGTATAGAAGACGACCTTTGATGATGTGAGTGTGCGTGATCGACTTTGAATAAGCGCCATAGATACCTGCTGATCTCACCGAACATTCGCCTTGCGTAATCCCCAGACAAAATATCTACATTGAGGGACAGGTCAATTTTGCGACCTCTCCATTACCTATTAGTTAAACCGCGCCGTGCTGGTGGCCTGTGTTTTCCGTGTCATGCTGGGGGGGGGGGGGCGTTTGCACGCGACCCACTCCAACTTGGCTCCTGGGCCACGTAGCGACACGCGGTAAGCGGCAATCGAGAGACAGTAAAATAATGACGGAAACACTTTGTTTAGTTTTCAAGTCAGGGCAAAGGTCAGGTCGCCACAGGTCATCAAAGGTCAAATTTAGTCCATCCCTATTCCGGGCGGGAGGGGGGGGGCCTTCAACCCTCGCCCTGGAAGGGCATTTTTCATAACACGGCCTGGCAGGGGGGGGTCGATGCGACCCCCCCTCGCGATTGGCTCCTATGGCACCGAGAAACACCAAATTTGGTAGGTAGGTGGGCCCCCTGGAGTTCTCGCCCCAGTGCAAATTTGGTTGCTCTAGGTCAATATTTAGGGGGGTTTTGGGGGGTATAAATGTAAAAATTTCGCTAAAAACAGGTCAAAAGTTTTTTGCTTATAACTTTTGATCATATTAAGATAGAGCAAAAAAAAAAAGCACCAGTGGACTCAGCACGTCACGGCGCGTCGAGTGATATACTTTTTAGCTTGCTTAAGTGTACTTAAAGTTTTTCTTAATTTTCAAGTAAACTTTAATTAATTAATTAAGTTCAAGTTAACCAAATTGCATCATATCGCATATCATTCGATTCGGCTGATCACCAGGAACACAATGACACCATTTTTAAGCTCTAGCATCATTATGTGCCAAGTTATTGGCAAAAACGTCATTTGACCTCAGTTGACCTCATTTGACCTGACCCATGGATAAGTACACCAAACAAAGAAGCACCAAGTGACCTGCTGTTAAGTACTGTGGTTTCAAAACACAAAAGTGATAGAACGAAGCGGATATCTCCAGTATTTTCCGAATTTAGTATTTTCCTATAGGCTTAACATTACGACGTAATGACCTCTAACTGACCTCAGGTCAGTGACCTAAAAAAACCGAACTATATGTTATACAACTCGGTGAACTTAGCATATCCTGAAAGTTTGAAGGAAATCAGTCCAAAACTGTGAGTTGGACAGGTGCAAAAAGAAAATTGAAATTTGACCATGACCTTGTACCGGTTTTTCTAACCTGGTGACCTGACCCAAGGTCACCCGGACCTTAAATTTTTAGGTCATATGTAAAAAGGTTGCCCCATAGGCTGTGCCAAATTTGGCGGCGCGGCGCCGTTTTTACGCTATCTTCGAGAAACCTTAGGGGGGTCGCATCGACCTCCCCCCTGCCAGGGCGAGGGTTAAGGCCCCCCTTCAGGTCTTTCTTGTGCCATTGCCAAACGCCGCAAGACTGAAAGCTCATACTCGGTGACTTTTTCTAAAAATTCATTGCGCACATTTTGACAAAGAAAAAGTTGCCGGGTCAGGTCAGGTTAGGTCACCAGAGGCGGTTTGGTGACCCCACCTCTGAAAAGTTTGCAATCACGCCAGAGCTAGAGTTTTTTTACGGATCAATTTCTTCTCTTCAGGTTTTAGTTAGGGTACCAGTATGTGCAATTTGTATATCTCAGAATTTTTATATCTGAGACCTGAGGTCAGGCCAGACTCGTGACCTTTACATTGCAAGCCTATGGGAAAATATTGAAACGCCTCCTGCTTCGTGTAAACGAGTCAAAACCACCCAATTCTTTCAGTATTATGGATGAATATCTCATCGGTGATGATCCTGGTGCCGCTAAATGACAGGGACACCGGGAAAGGTCATCTGAGGTCATGTGACGTCATAAATCGTTTTTCTGTCAATAAATCACGACATGATGGTGCTAAAGACTTGTAAGTGGTACCAAACTGCTCGCCTGGTCAAGGCGCGTCGTTTGGTATGCAGCATGACCATACCCCACAACCTCATTGATGAATGACCTGACCTTGACCTCGGGTCAAATTTCAAATTGACCTGTAAAGGTCATCGCATACTTATTTCGCATCGCCTCGACGAGAGCAACAAAAAATGTATAAATTTTATGTCTCTATGTTTCTTAGTTTAAAAGTTATACAGGCAACTAATTCCAAAACATTTTATCGTTGATGACCTCTGGTGACCTCAATATTGACCTGACCTGAAAATGTTTTATGTAAAAGATGTAGATCTTCAAACGACCTATCAAACGCCGTCTGCCGTTTGTCGCTGTGATATGTAGTTTTTGAGATCTGAAGGGGGACCGAAACGGACCCCCGCCCAGAATCGAACCTTTCAGAGCCCGCCCGGAATAGGGTTAAACAATTTTGGAAACTGCCAACGGATAAATCGGGAACCAATAGATCTACAGCGCCGCGGAAAAGCACATTTGATAGCCATTTTACAGACCTTTCCGATTATTGCCCTCAGAATTGACCTCGGGTCCACGGTTTAGCCTTCAGATGGCAAAACTCCAAAAATATCTGTTTTTAAGAAAAACGTTTTCTGCAATGCCTTTTGCCTCAAGACAGTGACGAGATTTATTTTGCCAGCATCGTGTTCCTCCCGTCGAGACGCGTCGAAAAAACTATACGTTGACATTGCAATGTCATCTTAAAAATTTGACCTCAGGTCAAGGTCATGACCTGACCGGAAAAGAGTCATGCTGCATATCAGTCGATCCGTATCGTCGAGCTGAAAAAATCTGACTAGTTTCACCGCTCTAACATATCTTTATCAAAAGTTATAGCCAAAAAACTGCTGGTGACCGTTCATGCCTGAGATGACCTCAGGAGCATACAGAAGAATCACAACTCACAGTTGCATTTTTCCTATTCAGTGTGTTTTGTTTACCTATGAACCGATGTTTGAGAGGGCATTGAACAACATTCGTCCAAAAGAGGCGCATTTCATAGTTTCTCCCATTGACTTGTAATGGAGACGTCGCAAAATTGACCTGACCTTAGGTCACAGATATCAAAAGTCCGAGATAAACATGTTATACATATTGTTAGTCTCATCAATCTCTGAAAGTTTCAAAAGTGATCGTTCAGTCGGTGTAGCTATCGCGAGTCTTTAAACTTTTTCTGAGGTAAGGTCACTTGACGTGACCTGGTGACCTGACCTTGAACGACCCGGGTCTGAAATTTTCTCAAATTGTGTGGAAAAGATGTATAAACATGTGTACCAAAAACGATGGCGCTTGGCGACGCCGTTTTTGAAATATTCGCGAAAAACCTAAGGGGAAGGGCGTAAAAACGCATCCCCCCTCCCCCCAGCACGGCGCAGTTTAAAAAACTGAAATGCTCTCCTTTTCTGAACGAAACCACCCCCAGACATCGGGATACAGGTATATATGACACATTTCATCGGAAAATTTCACTCGTCATGTGACCACTTTTATGTTACTGAGGTCATCTCAGCCCTCAGGTCATGAAAGGTCTCCAGTAGGTTTTGGACAATAAATTTTGATAGAGATATGGTAGAGCAATGAAACGCCTTAAATAATTATTTTCCTTCTCGACAATACGGATCGACTAATATGTAATATGACCTTTCCCGGCTAGGTAATGACCTTCACCTTAGGTCAAATTCTCAAAATGCCCTTTAATGTCAAATTCTAGTTCATTTGACTAGTCTCGAAAAATGGAACACGGTGCCGGTTAAACTAATGTCGTGCAGGTCTGAACCAAAGGTATTACAGGTAAACGTCCCCCGCGAATACGTATATTTTACGGCTAAAACGTTTACCTACCTTAGGTAAAATCTGAGATAATGAATAAGAAAGAGCATAAAAGAGAAGACACGGCAAAAAGACACGTCGGCAAAATGCATTCGGCATATTGATATTCGGCGAATAAGCATTCGGCAAAACGCAGTTCGGCAAATTGTCCTGTAACCCCCCCCCCCCCCATCATGAGAGCGCGTTGCTCGGCAGACCCAATCAGGGCGCGGGTTAAAACCGCAATCGTGGACGATGAATCAACACATCGTCGGTAACCAATAGGGTGGGGGTGGGTAAGAGGGATAAGGCTGTCCTGTAAGTGCAATGTCCGTGTGTGAATGTGCAAATGTTTTGAATGATTAGATTGGCAGCCGCGGATACGGATTCTGAGCAGAAATCGCCACGCATTTTGTATGTGGATCGCCCTTAAATGTAAACACAATATATTCAATGGTGCCGGCGGCCGGGACCCAGCGCGTGCCGTCGTTGCGCCTGGTGCCGGCCGAGTGAGTCTCTCTCACCTGGCTGTCCTGCCTGGTCCTGGGCGGCGGCGCCGGCCGGCCCCGGCCCGTGGTGTAGGCGTGTGGTGCCCACTGGCGCCGCTCCGACCAGACGTCGTCTGCAGCCAGCGTGCGGCCGGCGGACGGCTCCTGCAGCCAGCCGCCTGCGGTCACCGCACCCCGGTCAGCCACCACGGAGACACGCCTCTACCGGTCAGCCACGGTCAGAGGATTTGTGATGGTGATAGTTTCCTACACGGTGATACAGGAGAGGCTGCAAAAAAAGAAACGCTTTCAAAAACAACAGTGTGGGGTATGAATCCATTAACTGAAATCGACATAAGGGTAACATTTTTTTGCGCCACTGTGGGCACTTTGAAAGACGACAATCAAGGAACACAAAACCATATTGTTAGGTAAGTAGCAAAAATGATATGTTAACTATTATAGCAATGAACATGACTAAATGCGATTTTACTTTCATGCGGCGTACCTCGTTAGTGCATGCAATACTACTGGCATGTACATATATACCATCAACCATTTATTAAAGAGCTGCTGATCAGTGCAGTGGGTGTGCTCACATGAAGGGACAACACTCCCGCGGAACTATGGAGCGGAACTAGCATGGAGACTAGATATGTCCATCAAATACCAGCTTTTTTGGTATACCGATACCAATCTGACACGAACTTGGTATTTGGAATTCCAATCCTGTTTTTAGTTTTTTTTTTGTTATGAATCCTCATGATATGAATCCTTGTGTTATGAATCCTGACTATAGTCAGGATTATGTTCCGATCAAACTTGCGGTTGGAGTTCCTTCGGCAGCTGGCTCCTCTGTTCAATATTTTGCGTCTTTGAATGTAATAGCATGGATGAGATAATAATGGATTGGTGTCTTCGCAGTTTTTGGTGACATTGAGCTCAGACCTGCCATCTAGCGGGGGAATTATCGTAAGTTAGGAGCAAGCCGAGTGAACGCCGTTGCTTAGCATTGTGACACACGGGAGTGTGGTGTAGTAGCAGGCTTGTGCAATTTTTCAAAAGGTTATGTCTTAATATGTCAGTAAAAGCGAAGAAATCAGTAAACTTATGTGCAGGGTCAGTAATAAGATAAGCGGTTCCCTGTTATTTCCTCTTTAAAACCCGCGCCCCGTAGGGGGGGGGGGCCGAAACGGCCCCCTGTCCTTTTCCGTCGATATCTCCTAAACGGCTGGAGATATCGCCACCAAACTTGCAGGACCCCTCCGGGCATCAATTTTACACATTGTGACCAAAAATTTCCCAAAGGCTATGATAGGTTGGCCACAAATGACGTCAGAATGACGTCATGTTCTGCCATTTTCGACCGAAAAAAGACCTTCGCGAGAAGAGCTGTCAGGCCTACAGCTTTGAAGATACAGAAAAATGATCCAAACAATACCGGTGTAGAATAGACAGGGCTACAAAACTGCTATCTCGGATTTTTGAAATTTTTGAGTTTTGACCCCCCAAAATCAAAAATGCAATTTTTTGGATATATTAGCCAAAAATTCCAAAAAGTTATTTGAGTTTCGAAAAAACCGGAATATATGTAATAGTTTCTACCGTCTTCTATCTACATATCAAATTTCAGATCGATATCTCGTTTTTTGGCCAAGTTATAGCGAAAAAACTGTTCAAAAATGATGACATCAAATTTTCAAACTCAATTTTTGGCAGTTCTAGACCTCGTAGAGCAAAACAAAGACCACCATTAGACTCCCCGTGACGAGAGCTGCATCGAATCGATACCCATTTTATGCAAAAATATCAACTTTGAAATTTGACCTAATATGACCTGACCTTGACCTGACCTTCACCAAAACGTGACCTAGGCTGGCCCCAAAGGCTGCCTGACCCACATAATCGCATTTGTCATGTAACATGGACCATAAAACACGTATCACACGACACTTCCATATTGTGACCCCCCAGTGACCTGACCTCTGTGACCTGACCTGGTATCAGTGACCTCAGATAGCGAAGTATGTGTTTGACGAACAATGTACCATCGATGGTTTTCAATCACTTACCAATTTACTCGATTTCACAACACATTGCTTGAAATGCCTGTGAACGGTGAAAATCCGACCTTTGACGTGACCTGTGACGTCATCGGTTTGACCTAGGTCAATGAAATTTGGTCACAAGGTAGTTCCCGTGTGGGGCTATCGAACACCGTTTGAATTTTGAAAATCGGCCGGTAAATTTCCGAGGTCTTAGGGGGGGGGGGGTTCGCAACAAACACCGCTTAGTAGCCGGGGCCCAAAGCTGTTAATTCATGAATTAGGACTAACTTTTTCTTTAACCCGCAACCCGTTGGGACCCGAGTTTTTGCAGATAACTCAAAAAAGGCTGCGAGTTTTGACTCGCCGTTTTCAGTAACTCTTCGGACATTAATTTCAAACAACTCATAAAAAAATCCTCGGTCACCTCAGGTCACGTTTTTGTTTGCTTACTGGGGGGGGGGGGAGGGAGGGGGTGCCTCGTGACCTACTAGGAATTGGGATGAAAATCCAGCCAAGATATTTGAAGACGTCAGGATGTCAGCGCAGAGCGGTGAGCCAGTTTCCCAAGGTCCGTGAAACAAGTGAACCCAGCATGGGCTAGCATTTACAGTGCAACGGCTGCCTGATCTCGAAAACAGTGTGCTGCATGCTTGATTGCGCGCATCATTTACAGAACTTTTCTAGTTGTCTCCATCGGAAGAGATTAAGAAACTACAGCACTGTTCTAATTTTATATAGTGACTAGAGGGACAGCATTACACGCAGCGTAATAAATCAATTTTCATTAAAATCGGCCCAGCAGCGGCCGAGTTATTGCCAGAATAAATTTGGCGTCTCCTCCTGGCCGGCGGTGCTCGGTTCCGGTATTCATGGCCAAAGGTCAGTGACCTGCCGGCTCTGATTTCGCTCAGTTTTGCAAGCGAAGAAACTGAGCCTAAGGCGCGAGCCGTCTGATCGGCGCCGGCCGCGGCCCAAAATGCCGCAAAGATGCACCCGCCACGTGCAAACCGCCGAGCGCACCCCACCAAAATTTAATGCGACAAATGGTTGCACGCGCCCGACTCGGCGCCAAAGTTTCAACCCCGCAGCCCGCACCGTCGCCTCGCAACAGCCCGCCAAAGGAACCTGACGTGTTACATACATACATACGTACAGACGTTTTGATTTTTATAAGAGTAACTAGAGGGACAGCATTACGCGCAGCGTAATAAATCAATTTTCATAAAAATCGGCCCAGTAGGTTTATCTTCAAGAAAGAAATTGTCAAGAGCTTATGACTAGAAGGAAAATAAGCTATATCTTGAATTGATCCAGTTAATGTACGTATCCTGATGCTCAAATTGTAGGAGCTTCATTGTCAACGGCATTACTTAAATTACTGAAACAGTAGCCGAGCTATAATTAAATGACTATTAAATAATTCTTCAACAAATTTATTGCAATGCCTTAACAGCAAATAAATGCAAATGATAAGTAGAAGAAACACTTTATTCACTCGAATTTCTGAGCGCGAGAATGCCCTCGCTGAAATTTATTTGGTCGGCAATCCACTTTTCAGGAGAATTCTTCAAGCATGTTTGTGTTTTCCATAATCCATAGTTTGCTATCACGTTTTCCATAAATAACTTATTCATTACACATATGTGTGCCTCTAAAAGAAATAAATGCCCCATAAAAATTAAAACACATAACTTTTGCTGTTCGCAAACAGTACGCATAATTTCCAATAGCGACGGCGACAAGACATTGACCAATCACGTTGCGTGTTTCCTGCTGGCGTTGATTTGTACTGTGGGCAAAATGGCGTGAATAGAATTACCATACTATTCTCTTTATAAGATTGCGTGAATAGGGTGCCGTAAATAGAGTGGGGTGGAATGATAGTACGCCATTTAGTAGCACAACCTTTATAAGATTGGGCCCCTGGTCGGAAACGCCCTCACGAGAGGCCATGGGCGATTCCAGAGTTTCGGATTATTTTTATATAGATCGATTCGAAATTGATCAAATTATTATAATTAGGCCAAAAAACTACTCCAGGTGACCAAAAAAAGCTGTAATCAGCCCCCAAAGATGGGGTATCCCAGAATTCGGAAACTGACGCGGAGCAAGGGCTTTCTTGAGCCGGATATTCTGAGTCTTATTGCTGATAGACACCAAATTGAAATCCCACATATTAGCCGTTTTCACGACGGAATAGCGGGTACCTAATAGATGCCTGTTTGGTCCTTTGATGCCTCAGGAATTTTAGTAATTTCCTTTGATGCCTCAGGAATTTTCGGAGTTCTTTGTAGTAGGTTTTCTACCTTTCGAATAAGTGGCCCGTTACTTTGCTGTTTTTCTACTAAATATTACCTAAATTAATTTATTTTATCTAAGGGTTTACCAATCATGTAAACCTAAAGCGTAAGTACGTTTATGAATTTAGCATATCTACCGGGTGGCCCAGAACAAACGTTCCCAACTTTAAATAAACATTTCTCAGAAAATGATAAAGACACAACATTGAAACTTCTAATAGTCAATGCGGCGTATATTTTCAGTAAATTGTATTATTTTTATGTTATTCGGGCAATTACTTTTTAAATGGTTCGCGTTTCTAGCATGCCATGTAAAAACTACTTGTTTTCTCAGATGTTTACTATAAAAAAAAAATGTGAGTGAACGGGCCACTTCCATTTCGGTACCACGGCCTGCAGCCATAACTGCTACTGGCAACTAGCCTCACTGATGGTTCAGGCCTTAGGGTGGCACATTTCCTCTAGCTTTTTCCTTATTCGGTCTATTTACTGTTTGATCTTCTTGAAGAGAGGGCGATCAGCAGTAACCCATGCACCGTGCCACTCCTTCTGTTCGAAACAGGACTAAGTATAGAAACGAATTGCATCCATTAACACCATTTTGGCTCAGTATTTGAATATTTGGCACATAAGTGGGACAAAAATACTAAAAACAACACACGTGCTGGTTTCATTCACGTGTTCCATTTTTCTATTTTTCCTAACATGGTACGTCTAAGCCAATCATCACTACCGTCTGACATAGGCAAAAAAAAAAAAAGAAGCAAAAACGTCTTACCTACTTAATTCAACATAAGACTGCTGGCTTGAAAATGATGATAGTGTTATAAT